CTTATTTAATTTGAGACAGAGTCTTACTTTCTTACCCCTGGTAGAGAGAGTTCCATGGCATCATAACTCACAACAACATCAAACTCTTGGGCTCAAGCAATAGTCCCAACTAGCTGGGACTACAGGCATCAGCTACAAAATCCAACATTTTTTTTTTTTTTTAGAGAGAGGGTCTCGCTCTTGCTCAGGCAGGTGTCAAATTCGTGAGCTCAAGCAATCCACCTGCCTTGGCCTCCCAGAGTGCTGGGATTACAGGTGTGAGCCACCGTACCCAACTGATTCACTAAACATTTGAGGACCTGATTACCATTTTTGTATATAGCTATATCTTTAGGATTATTCCTTTCCTTTAGGTTGGGCTTCAGAGAATCAGCATCTTTCCCCCCCAGCTTTAGAAACCTTGAGTATTCTTAATGCTGCTTCTCCCTTCTAATATTCATTACCTAGTCTCGTCATTCCTACTACAGTAGTTTTTATCTGCTATGCTACTTCATAACCTCAGGCCTCTGTGGCCATTTGCCTATATTTTCTCAGTGCTGTTTGGACTGGCATCATTATGTCTTGACCCCTGCAGTCTGTTTTCCACATTGCAGCCAGAGTAGTGATTGAAATGCATTTTTCCACTATCTAAAACTCGTTGGTAGCTCCCCATTGATCTCAGGATAGAGTCCATACTTTTTACCCCTCATGATCTGTGATTTTCTTATTTCTCTACCCTCATCTCTTGCCATTTTTTCCCCACATTTTCACACTCCCCGCACCCATCCATCTCAGCGTTCTCATTCTCAGTTCCCACCATACTAGAGTTCACCAGTCTCTTTTTCACCTCTGCTTCAAATATCATCCAGTTCTCCCCTGTCTAACTCCTCCTTGTCCTTTGGGTATTAGCTTAGTTGTCTTAGCTGAGAAGCTTTTCTGATACAGCTTACCTCCCTTTCCCTGCTATCACACTGGAGTTAGCCAAACTGCAGAGTTTGTGGGTACAGTCCTTGCAAGACGCCCATCACTTCTGACACCATCTATGAGTTTGAGGTTTCCTAAAACCATCCTTACAGAATTCACTGAAAGCTTTCATACCAGCTACAGGGAGAGAATCCATGGCAATATTAGCCAAAGGAAGAGCTGTATAGTGCAGTTGGGAAAGGTTACAAACACAAAGCTTCCGTTGTCCCTAGGGCACATTATCTTTCCAGCGTCTGTGTGTGACAGTGCACAAAGAGTGTTATCTACCAGGGAGGCTCACCCCAACTTTGGTGTCCAGAGCTTTGTTGGTTTTTGTTTTTTTGCTTTCTAACTTACCACTTGTCTAAGTGATTGTATTCAGTCTCCCTAGCTTGCTAACCACCCATCATAGTAGCACATGTCTGATATCAAATGTGGTCCTTCATGAATAACAAAGACATTTCTGTCACATTTGAAAATTCCAAAGGTTTCCAAGTTACCTCCAAGGAGCTGAGAATAAAGACATTTGGGCAAGGGCAAAATTTTTAGTATACATGCCCTTCTGGAAGTGCTTACTGAAGTATCATTAGTGCCTATCTCCGTGTTTGCCCCCCTTAGTTGTAAATTCCATGAGGGTGGACTGATGGAGTGACCGAGAGCCAGGGGGGCCTTGGTGTTGGGCTGCCTGGGTGAAAACTCCACTGTGTACTGGCTCTTTGACCTTGGGGGACAGTTATTAACTATTCTACACCTCAGTTTCCTCACTGATAAAATGTCATGCATAATAACACTTCTTACAAGTGAGAAGTGATTTGATCAGTGCTTGACAATGCCATAATAAGCATTAATTAATGCAAGCTATTAAGATCACCATGTTTATTGTTATATTTCAGTGTCTCTTAAAGAGTTAGGCATGAAGGAAGAAATCAGGAGCTGTTTACTTATTTTTTTATTTTGTTTTTGAGGTTTTATAACTTCATTTGACATTATTTGATAATCTGCACTGACTGATTGTAGATTTTTGGAAGTGGTTACAGATAGATACCTAACCAAAGTAGAGGG